CCCCTGTGCGAACAATAAAGTCAAAGGAACCATACCCCTACTTGCGACCCTTCGCGAGATATAAGCCCCTGAAATAATAAATTCCTATTACAAATATACTGAATTATTTATATTGTTATATTGACCAAATAATAATTTATTGGCCAAATGAATAATAAAAATTTATATTGTTAATTTAAATAAGAATTAAAATTGTTAATTTGAATGTTTGAAATATGACACACGATAGGGGCGCCTCTAGTGTCCGTTATCAAACGGTTACGGGACAGACGGATACCCGTTGAATGGGTTATATATATAGATATGGCAAGAAAAAGTATTTATTTATTTCTAACCAAAACTTCCATTTTGTTTGTTGGTGTTCATGACTTACCGCATAGTTATGCCAGTTTTATCATTGTGTATAACAGCCATGTTCTTCTCAAGCAGACTGCTTGTTGCAAACAGTTTGACATTCAACTGGCAACAGTTACAATGGAGATCGAAGTGAGTTGTGGATTGTATGTGAACATAGTATAACAATGTGTTGAGAAAAAAAAAAGGTAAAACTATCTTGGACAATTTTAAATAAATTCAAGCTATGGATGAATAATTATTGCTTGTTCCTCTAAGAATATTTATTCATTAATTATTTTTGAGATTAAATCAATTTTATGTACAGGGTGAAAGAAAGGTCATTCATGTATCCTATTTTGAACCTTATCTAATTTCTTTAGACACTGACACAGGACTAAGGTTTTATTAATCCATAGTCATGATACAAAAGAAAAAATTAATCAGCTCTGTTCTCCTCTTTCAATATATCCCTTGATTGTCTTCCAACTTAGGATGGTGTCCTAGAACTCCATATGTGCAGGACCCATAAGACCACTACTTTTAGAATGTCTTAAAGCTCCCCATCAAGATGAAAAAGTTATCTTGATAAGCATTAATTACATAAATTAGGATTCTTCTATGCCTTTAAAACTTGAAAGCACTAATGAAGCCATCTATGAACTGTACAACAATGGAATAATCTATTGCTTTTAGCCCTTAATATTGTTTAACACTTACTTGTTAGTCTAGATCAAATAAGCCCATATGTATAAGTATCTATCACATCAGTAAATGAGATAAATAATCATTAAAGATTTTGTGAATTAAACACCTTATTAATAAAACTCTACAATACATTATGGCTCTTAACACATTCATAATATAGAACACTCAAAATGCATTTCAGATTCAACACGTCCCCCATCAGTTGGTGTTCATACATAAATATAAATTATAAAAATACATTAAAAGGCCATTTATGATGATCACCTGTGATAATTGTGAATTCATCACATATGAGACATCACCTGTGATAACTGTGAATTTATTATATTTACAACAGCCTTTTAATTTATTTTTATAATTTACTAGCTGCAAGTACCCGCTTCGCTGGGTTTTTATTTGTTTGTACATTTATATGCAATACAGTTTTATATATATATATATATATACACAGTATAAAAGATTCTTCCTCTGCATAATTTTTCTCTGATTCGATATGCTTCCCTATAATTTTCAAGTTGCTCTTCTGTCTAATTATTTGTTTCGTTGATAATTTTCTCATAGCAATGTTAGGTGTACTTCTCTTTCTTCCATGGTTTTATTTCTCCACACCATCTTTTGCCTTGGAGATATGATTCGAGACCGCAAAAATTCTTTCTTATGCTTTGGCGTTGTTTTTTTTTTTTATTTTTACTTTTCACACTTCACTATTCACTTTTTTCTGTTATTTGTACACTTTTACTTATGAAAAATCAACTGAAGCATGTGCATTTACATTTCCAAAGCCATCCCCATTACTCACACGTAACGGTCCTCGACTATTCGAAAACATTTAAGATTAAGATTACATTATAGCCAATCTTACACATTTTCACAGAATGCAAGAATTAGGTCCCCCGTTTCCAAACTAATTAGAGAATTTTTACATGGGTCTAAAAATATGTTCAATTTCTTGCAAAAATGCAAAAAACTGCATCTGCGCCTGTAAATCTTGCACGCCACTTTCTCTTAACGCTTCCACTGTTGACACTTCCATTGTTACATATTTTCAAAGTCAACCACTTTCAACCCCCATATCTCCCACACCCTTATAGCTATCGAGACACAACCACCATAGTGCACGATGGGAGACTTGGGGCTACTACCACATACAAACACCATGTGCATTGTGTAGTTTTGGCTGCAGAGTGAAATATAGGCACACATGTCCATTTATATATATATATAGATATTTATGTATGAACACCAACTGATGAGGGATATATTGAGTCCAAAATGCATTTTGAGTGTTCTATATTATGTACATGTTAAAAGAGCTGTAATTTATTGTAGAGTTTTATTAATAAAATGTTATTAATTCACAAAATCTTTAATGATTATTTATCTTTCACTGATGTGATAAGTCTCTATGTATATGTGTCTACTTGATCTAGTCCTGTACAACAATCATTCCTCTGTGATTGATGAACTCTCAGGCATTTTTATACTGACAGATGGAAAAGTGTCTTTCTCCATGACTCAATGAAAACAGGTTTTTTTTTTAAAATTTCAACCACAATTCCTTCACTTACAAAATATCATCTGTTTGTACACTTTTACAACAAGGATTTGCTTTCCTTGCAGTCCATCATCTGCACATATTCTTATATGCAGATGATATAAACTCAATCAGCCCTTTTTATTTGTGTTATTCTGAAATTCCTATCATAGGGAAGATAAAACTGGCCTTGTACTGGAAGGTATAAGGCCAGTCTCAAATCATCTACTAGTGGTCAAGGTTGACTGTAGTACATTGTTTGTTTGGTCCACTACACATGTCAACAAAGAGGTGAAACTCTCTCTTTAATGTAGTTGGAGAAAAGTGCACACCCTGTTCAACCCTTTATTTGTGATGTCTTAATGAGACACTCAAAATTCACTGTTACTTTTAAGTTGTGAGTGCTGAATACAATAAGCCACAGCTACTGTAAATACTACTTGCACTGGAATATAAAATAAATGTTTCAAAATGGGATAAGTCAAGGACAATCCATTTTGCTACTAAGGAAAAATACTAATTGCCATTTCCTGATAACTTTACAATACTAGTAACTTGTTCCGCAGCCCATTCTGATAGTTCACAGCAAAAAAAACTAAACCCAACATTACTTGAACTTCCTTAGTATGGTCCACTTATTTCATTTTGAATCTCACATATTCAATTGAATTTGATGACAAAATAAGCAGGGTTATGAAAGCAAATTAGCTGTCTTATTAAACTGACAACTGATCCTTATATTATTAAGCAATGCAAATAGAGGAAAAAGTTTTGATAAAAGTTTAAAGAGTATTTTTATAAATAAATATGCATAGCAATTATATGAATACAGATTTTTTTTATCAAGTTACAATTTTAATTATAGATTTATTTTTACCTTGAAACTAAGATCACCTTCTTCTTCTCCATCAAACTGATACACAGCAGTTACTAAACAGACTGAAACATAAAGAAAAATGTTATATTACATACACATTAATGTATTTAAATATGTTTAAAAAGAAAAATAAAGAGGTATTTTTTAAGGATAAAAATATTTTTTCACCTTTAGATTTTTCTTCAGAACATGAACTTCTTTTATTGCTGATTACTTCAACAAAACATGCTGGAAAAATTCCTTTTTGACCATTTATTGATCCTTTCCACCAATCATTACTTAATTTGCTTTCAAAATGTAAGATATCACCTTCCTTAAAACTAATTTCTTCTGTTGACTGGCCTTCAAAATCATAGAGGGCTTTTAGCATCTGATTCTTAGTTATAGGCACATTATCATCCTGTTGATTACAGAAAATTATATAAATTATTTGAATAATGTCAAACTGTAATAATCATGAAGATTTGTATATAGAATAAGTCTAACAAATTTGTCAATTTAACAAAAATATATAATCACTAAATTACTTAAATATTCTATTGAAAAGTATTCATTTTTATAATATTTAGTTTTTAAACACAATAAATAATAAAGGAATAAAAACTGATTTGTTATATAGTAAATGTTTTGACAAAAAGATATTTTCTGTAATTAAGTTATTCCATTTACTTCTGCTTATCATGCAGATGCATTACAAATCTGCACAGTAAGCAGAAGATACGGGGATGAGTCATATTATAGATAAACTTAATTTCTTCCTGAAAGAAAAAATTAATTTTAAATTATTAAATTTACTAGCAATGTAGCTTAACCACCATTCTTTAGTCCAAATTACATAACACACTATTTTTTTGTAATTAATTAGCTATATTATACAGATTAAAATCACTTGTATGAATTGATTACTATATGTCAAGCTTGGTTTTACAATTATTCAATAAGAATTTTAAATCAATTACAATTACTGATAAGTAAATGAAATATTAAAATTGAAAGATATAATTGCATATTACATTTAGTTTGAAATGAGGTTTGAGTAATGAAAAAAATTTTTTCATATCAAATTATGCTATATAACTAAACCATTCATTAATGTCATCACTTTCAAGTAAGATATCTTTTTCTTTATTTGAATACAGAAAGGACATTTGTATAAATGAAAACTATAGCAATACAGTGATACCCCAAACTTACGCGATAGGTGGGACCGAGCGATAACCGCGTAAGTCGAATTCGCATAAGTCGAGGTATAATTTTGCAATTTATGTAAAATCCAAGTCAGATGTATGTAAGCTAATAAATGTTCTCGTTAATCTCGTCTTTTGATTCGTTTACGGTTACAAGAAATCACCACACAGAGTCTCTCAAGTCTCCGTAGATATAACAAACACAGAAATAAATAACACAAAATAAATTGTAGCTATGTGTCGATTCCGCGTGACACGTCTGAACATGTAAGCCGAACAATAGTGTGGAGGGAGTGAGTAATCAAGAGCTGCGTGGCACTCAAACAAAAGATGAATCGACAAGATTTGAAAATCGCATATCTCCGGGTTCGCGTAAGTCGAGGTATTACTGTATTACCATGTTGATAGCCAAAACAATATGCATAGAACCACCATTAAGCTTGGCATAAAGTATCATTAGTTTTATCATGATTAATGATGCAGGCATTTTTCCTATAAAATACAAATAAATCAAACAGAACAAGACTAGAAAATGATTATATAACTGTGCAATATTACTAAAATTTTAACGTTCAGTTATTAGGTAAGTCATTTTCATCATTTTTTAATCTCTCTGAAAGTCAATATATATATAGTCTTTGGATTTGATAATAATTTGAGGAATCTCAATATGAGGCTAATATAGAATCATTTTCTGATATATTATGGCAGTGTTTTTGCTAAACTACACCAGAAAATCCATGATGCAAATGTAATATAGGAAATTCTTATTGGTTCAAAATTCAAGTGATAAAATAATTGAGAGTTTATAATTGAATTATTAATATTGAGTTTATAATTATAAAAGTTATAATTGAATTATCGAGTTTCAAATTATCCATGATTTACATATTTCTGCACAATATGCCAAACACCATGTAACTGATGCAATTTATTAAGCAAATGGAATATGACTACATATACAGAATGCTAATTTTGTTGTTAATTAATAATATAAATAAACTGCAGGTAAACAACACGTGTCTGGTGAGAACCTCACTAGTTGCCAGATAGGTTTTATAAAAAGTAANTTTCTAATGGATTTGGTGCTCGTTTTTTCATTGATCTCTGAGCTACTCTTGGTGGTCTGGAATTTTTAGTGTGATTCACTTGTAACGGTTGCTTTGTATTTTTCTGTTTTATACCATTATCATCTCCAAAAAAAATTGCTAGATCATCTTGTAATACATTAGATTGAAATATATCCTGAAAATAAATAATTTGCAATAACTTTAATTTGTTTTATTTTGATTACATCAGTGATGCCCAAATTATATAGCCCCTAAGCTAAATCTGGCTCATGACACATGCTAATCCAGCCACAAAAATATTTGACAATTATGAATAATAAAAATAGGCTTACTAATTAAACAGTTTGAGTACTACTGATGTATGTATTTATAAACTTTATGATTATTGTACATTTTCATCAAATACTAAAATAATACAAATATCTCTGAAACTGACATCTAAGTATTCATTAATTATTAGTTAACATGAAATATGAAATTTATTTCAAAACTGAATTATTGCTTTAAACTATTCATTGGAAAACTTGCATCTATTTTTTTATAAAATTGATTAATCAATTATTTTAGTTACATCTAGTGCACTATAAAACTTTTCTATTTTAAGACTAATAAATTAACACAAAAACTCAAACTGTCACTATTACACTGATATTCCTGTAGTTTACATTAACAACAAACAAACGTTTGAGGCTTTTTGTTACTAATTCATCTTATAATTCAACAATTTGACAATACTAAAATACTGAATTCTGAAAAAATGATACCGCAGTTGATAAGTGTATTTTTTTTTCTAAAATAAAAAAAATTACTTAAAATAGGAAGTTGCTTTTTCTGTTATAGATTTGAGTTTCTTATATATTAATGCTTTCATTAGAAATTAAGTAAATTTACAAATATGGCTTTAAAATTTTTATCCTTTATTTATAGTGTATTACAGTAGACAGTTGTTTATCTGAATCAATTGGGGACTGGGGTTGTTTGGATAACTTATTTTTCGGATAACCGATTATGTACGAAAAATATATTAAACTATCCCATGTTGAAATTTCTCTCCATTACATGTCACTTTGCATTGAATTTTCGTCTATGTTAAGCCTAACAAAAATTTTTATAATAATAATTGTGGCTATTGTATCATTAAAAATCATTTCTTTATTTTGTACAAACAAAATAAATATATTGAAAAATATAAAAACAAAAAAATTATACTTTAGAAGTTAATCTAGTATCAAAAACGTTTGATTCAGCATGACACATGTCTGGACACACAGTCCTCAGAAAAACACCACATAAAAGTGCCAGTGCTGCCAGCTAAAACACACACACCAACAAAAGAAATATTGGAGTAGCCCAAGACATAGCCTAAATTTGCAGTGCCGCAGCACTAGCAAAAATTTATATTTGCCGACTGGAACGCTTTCGGTTAACCGATGTTTTGGTTGACCACATTTCGGATAAACGACGCTGGAATGTATTAATATTTATATTTCAATACTAAAGTGTAATTAGCAATATATAAGCAAAATAATTATTTTATGTAAAAAATATGAAAAGCTTTAATGGGATTAAAATAATCAATTATAATGTATTAGGTTTCAGTGAAAATACATTGTTGTTACATAAAACAAGATTCTTTTTCATATTTCAAACTATTAACTAATTATAAGTAAACCATTAGTTATTCATAAAATATTTACCTGTAATTTATTTACATTGCCTCCTCCATTTCCATTCTTATTAATTTTTGGTGGAGCTGAGAAATTTCAAATTAATTATATTTTTTATATTTCAATACGAAAATAATTATTGTTTAAATATTCACCTGGTCTTGGTGGTGGTAATTTCTTTTTCTTCAACTGTTGACCATCCAATTTTGGACGAATGATTGTTGGTTTTGCAGACACACCATTGAAAAAGGTAGTTTTCTAAAAAAAAAAAAATTTACAAAAAATAAACACAGTTAACAAAATAAGCAGATTGTTTTGTCAAACTTTTACTTAAAAACAAGATTTAAATAATCTTATCTAAATTATATTAATAATTTGTATTTACATATTATAAATCATTTCAAATGAACCGTAAACAGTTTTCCAAAACTTTATTGTTGTATAAGATTATTAAAGTAAAACTTTAAATGATATACAAACGAATTAGGAACAGAAGTAAATAAAGCAAGTATATCAGAAGTTAAAAGAGACACACAATATTTTTATATCAAAAGGAAATAGATATGTTATCAAACTGTGTAACACAAAGTAAATATAATGAGCAGTTAAAAAGATAGAGATTATTACAACAATACAGTAATCATCTACAATTAAAGACAGCAAATGTTCAATAAAAAGAAATTCTTGTATCAGAGATTATAATATAGCATTATTAATAATTTTTCTTATTCTTATCACTATCAATATTGTCAAAGATAATTTTCTCATTTTATGTTTATTAAAGTTTTAGATTTAAAGAAAATATTTTAATCAAGTGAAATTTATATAGAATAGGTTAGTTAGTTTTTCTACTACCAATATTTTATGTAAATAGGCAAATAATTTATTGAACTTATCACTTTTTATTATTGAAAATTTTACATATTGGATTTCTTTCTACAGAAAAAAAAAATCAATTATGTATGCATGCATACATGAAAGTCCTAGAAAAATTTGTGCAGCAGTCCTCTAATGCTTAAAATGGCACTGAGGATGAATGCAGTGGAAAAATGTGAACATTGAATCCAGTGCTGATTCAGAAAAGCCATAACAAAGTGAAGAGATTTCTAACTGACATACTATCCAATTTACTTAATATTACTTAAACAAATAACAGAATTGATTCTGTTGACATAAATTTGTCTCAAGTTTCCTATTTAAAAAAAAAAACTATAGTGAGCACATAGATATGCATCTTAGACTTGAGTAAATATGGTTTTTTTTTTTTTTTTATAAGTATTAAATATTCTCTTCCATTAATATGCTTAGACTATGGTCAGGTTTGTTTATAAACATTAGCTGATCATCTTGTTTTGGTAAGTTAAAATAGTTATCATTCATTTTATTTATATATTCTTATCTTATTAATAAGATAAAATTACAATTGTTCTATAGAAATTATTGATATTAACTCAGTCATATCTAAAAACAATTCTTGTTTGATATGAAATATTTTCATTTCATATAAATCAAATGAATTTATATTTATGTATGATAATATTTCATATAATATTAATTTCGTATTTAGTTTGATACAAAATAACCAATTACAAATTCATATTTTCTATAAAAATGGATGAATATTTACCTTTTCATTACTAACATTTTTCTTGCTGTGAATCTTAGGTCTGAAATATAAATAGGATATATTTTAATGAAACAAATATAAATATTGTTAAATATTAAAGCACATATTATAAAATAAAAATATAAGAAAACATTTTATTAAAGTTCTTTACATTTTATAAATAAATTTTAATATATATATATTAATGACAATTAAATTAACAGTAGTGAAAACAAATTTGTTATTGTAATATTAAGAGATAGTACTCCAAAAGAAACTAAACCGAGGCAGAGTTGATGTTGGAGTTAAAATTTTTATTACAGAATTATGTTTTTCTTCTTCTTCACACAATTAGCTCTTATATTCCAATAGCTAACTCTAAAATATGATTAAGATCAGGTTAAAAATTCATCCAGACCTCCAAACTTCACACTGGAGATTGTTCTATAATCCTTGTTGGATGTGAATGACAACAATTATTTTATCATCATATGGTTTCTAACCTTCAAATTATGTGAAAGTGTGCCATCAATAAAGTGAGAATTGATAAACAAGTTATTCATTGGTAAAACTAGCAACAACCATTTCATTGAAAATTTATTCTTAGTTTTATTTTATACTTTTTCTAATTTGGTACTATTTATTTATTACCATACTGTAATAAATATTAATTATATATACAGTACAAATAAATTTATAATAAATATCAATATAAATTGATATTTAAGTATTTGTAGATATTTAATAAAATTAATATCTATAAAATTTATTATGTTTATTTTATTTATACATAATCTGAAGTATACTCATTACAAAATTAAAAATTTCTAAATCATTTACTTAGCGTTTGCAGGAAGCTGATTAGTTGGAGGAGGAAGTGGAGCAGGCCTTATTGGCTTGAGTGACATTCGTTCCCATCAACTAAGTTCTTTCTAATAAATAAATGTACAACATTAGTTTTATGAAGGAATTAAATTATAGTTTATTCTTCGATTAAAGATAAAATTAAACATACTAAAAATAACACTACTCTTTAGATGATTAATTTATTAACTTTTGATGCTATTATAATTTAACAAAAATTTTTGTAAATTTAAGTATAAAGTTAAATTATTTAACAGTAATCTTTCAAATTCCTAAATTTTTTCAATTATGTTTATCAGAAGTTATTTTCTATTATTACAAAATGATTAAAAACAGAGATAATTATCAAATTAACTAAAAATAAAAGTAAATTTTGGCAAAAATAATTATATTTACACAAAATCATCTACTAGAATTAACAATTTATCCAATTATTGAATTTAATTATTTAAATTATTTTAAAATTTACATAAAACTTATTAAGAACATTTAAACTAAGTAGAAAAAAAAAATATGAAATTAAATATGTAGTTGCTTCACAGGAATTTTCTTCTCACAAGCTGTATAAATATTAAGTTACATTTAAAGATAAATTATTCTTTATATCTCATTCTTCATATCAAAAACACAAGTGGCTGCTTTAATAAATTCACAAGTTGTAATGTCAATCAAATGTAATTGAATTCCAAAGAAAAATTTTACTAGTATGTAGTATTAATTTTTTTAATCTTGCAATTTTATGAACTTTTAAGATAAACATTATAATAGATTTAAAATTATAAATAAGACAGCTGTTACTGGTATGCCAAAAAAAGCATGCTAATTTCACACACTATTATATATTTATAACTTTGTATCTTAATACATAAAGAAATAGAAAATACAGAATTTTTTCAAATAAATTTTTTTAAGATTGACTTAATTAGATTTAGTATAACTAAACATGATAAAGGATGATAAAATATATTTCCAAATAATGCTGAAATAAGTCTTATTTATTGATTTTACTACATTAAGCGTTAATTATTGCAATCACTTGATACTAGCCTATATTGATAACAATAACTGAGTAATAAACTGTGCAGTGAAAGTAATTAACTATAAATTTGTGGAAATTCTAGTTTTATTAAATCAGATTATTTAAAAATATGTTAAAATGTTTAATAATAAATTTAATAGCTAGCTTAAAAAGTTTATTATAATTATTTGAATAGTTCATCCAACATGTTTTCATTAATGATATTGCCAGGAAATACTCATATTCATGTTTTTGAAACGCAATTCATCTTTAGTACTTGCAGTTTCTCACATCTGAATATTTTTGGAGAATTTCAACTATCTTCACCTTGATTTTCTTCAATTTTATCAGATTTCTCCAGAGCTTTCTTCAGTAACAATTTGGCATATTTCTGATATCATAGCAGATCTGATATCTTCTCCATTTCGACAGACAACTTAATTTTCAGATGTGTATGCTATTTTTTTTTAAAAAATCCACCCATTGAAAACTGTTTAAAAAAAATTCTCAATGATCTCAGACAGTTGATCTTGCAACATTATCAAAAAATTAATGCATGACATAGGAATAGCAATAGAAAATCATATCAGTTTGACTGTCATCTACTTCTCCTAAAATTCTTGCATACATTTCACTTCCACAGCATACTTTTAAGTTAAATATGATTCCTTGGTCACAGATGAATTAGTGATGATGAATGTCTACTGTTTTTAATGACACACTATTAACACAAATTTGATGTATAATTGTCTACCAACAAAACAATCTTTCATTTCAAAGATGTCAGTTCTCATCCAGGCATTTGCACTTGAACAGTAATTCACTGGTAAATCTTTCATACCCATAAATCATCTTGTGATTGGAAAAAAAATCCTACAAGTGTTTTTTTTTTGTTTTTGCATATTAAGTCAGCAAATAACTGTTAAAACTTGTATGATGAGGCATTGCACAAAAAGTGCTGTTTCAGCTGAATTGTAGACATTCCTTGGTGAATATTTGGCAATTCTGTCTGTTTCTACAATTCATTTGATGCAAAATCAGAACTTATGAATGCATCTGTACTACACACATTATTCTATTATTCTCTCTTTCTCTGCAAATTGAACCAATCATTGATTGCGATAAAATGTTTCTATTCCATATTGCTGATGCTTAAGCTCTCTTCTTAGTTAATACTTTATGACAAATTAGTGGCCCATTAAAATGTGCATTTTTTCATAAGCATTACTAAACCAAAGCTTCAAAGCTAACTCAACTTCACTATCTTTCCCAGTTTAATCTCATTTGCATATTATATTTTCATTTTTTCATGTTGACATTTCAATATTTACTCTTTTTCAAAATCTGTGAATTGACTATGAAATTTTCAATTGTAGTAGTGTTGCAATGAATAGTATATTTGGCCTTAGGCCGAATACCAAATATTCGGCCAAACTATTCGGCTTGATTAACGCATGTACGAAAATTGGCACACAAACCGCATTATGGCAAGGACCCTGCTCTCTATTGGCTCACTGTCACTACGCTTCGCCAATCGCGTTAATTCTTGACAGTTCAGACAAGAACTTCATGGCAGTATGTAATAAGTGATGATATCAAATGAGGATAACAATGAAATGATACACATGTAAATAACGGAAGAACAGAGAAGGACCACGAAGTGAAAATGTGAAAATAAATATGAAATTAAGTTGATAACATAATCGAACAAGTCGATTATGTTATCAACTCAATAAGCTGCCTCGAACAAGTTGAGGCAGCTTATTGGCGCAAAATTCACAGCCGTGAATGCCAAACAATTGTTGTCATAGACTTCGGAAAGCTAAATGCTTGTAATGAAAGTCACTTAGCGTGCACGGGTGAAAGCCTGGGGTCATTTGGGCTACCAAGCTGTTTCGAATCTGTGAAATCATAACTGTGACTTATACCGACGTCCTATCTGTCTCTTTTCTCCGTTATCACCAGGCTACGAGTCACGTAATTGTAAAATGGGAAATCTACGATGGGTAAGTGACGAATCAAAAGTATCGTGAGGGCATATTATGATGTATGCATAGGCATATGTGGACTAGAGCAATAGAGGAAAGAGAAAGGGAAGAGCAAAGACAAGCACTTAAAAAGAAGGATAAGCAGGGTCAGACCCTCAGATGTGCAACGATTCTCGAACGAATAAGTGTGTAGTGTGCTGATCTTTGTAATTATAAATTGTGAATACAAGTGACTAATATTATGTTATTTTTTATTTTGTGCACGTTATAAGTTATAAATAAATATAAACAAACAACACTAACCCGATAACATTAAATCTAAATACCAAAATGATTAATTTACTGTGTTTTTGTTATTTCTTACTCCTGTTTTTAGGTATTCGGTATTCAGACAAATAGTGATTAAATATTCGGTATTCGGCTGAATAACGAAAAATAGGTCGAATACCGAATAGTAACTGAATATTCATTACATCACTAAATTGTACAGTGGCATTGCATTGATTTATTTTTGGCAACTTACAATTTTTAAATTTCAAGCTTATCTTTGAGAGGCAAATCTTTACATTTCTTATTTCCTTCTTCCATTAAGCTAAGGAAAACAGTATCATAATTCAAAAATGCAGAATATTTTAAGGACAGAAATAAAATTGTAGTAGTTACCAACACCACAAATAATGGACTTTTAACTTTTTGAAAAAAAAAAAAAAAAACTTTATACTTTGGTTGACCAAAACTTTATACTTTGGTACACTTTATACTTTTGGTTTTTCCATTATTTAATTTTTTTAAAATGTAATCACATTTTTTAAATAATATTTTAAAATATATTCTGACATTAATATTTTTATTATATAATAAACACATGAATTAAATGTAGTTTACTAATTTGCAAATTTCCCATATGGTAAATGAGTAACTATTTCATTTTAATTAAGGTGTAACGTGAAATTTCACCTTTTAAACAATGAGATTTTGAAACAGAGAGAGAGAGAGAGACTTTTTCAATTCTTTTTAATTAAAGTTTCTTGTAAAAATTGAAACTATGATTTGATAACCTAGACAAATTGTGCTGACTACAAAGACAATCTTGTAAGTAGGCAGCGATGTAACAAGTGATTGAACCAATTTGAAACAAAGTAAACAATATTCCAATTTTACTTTTAAATTTTGAAACAAGATTACTGCATATTGATGAATTTCCCAATTAATGTCTATAGACTTAGCAAAGATGCTACAATACTCCGTTTTATTGTAATGCTTTTGCAGCTATTGCTGTAAATAATATTTTTCACACTATAAATTTTCCGAGGACTGCTTTAATTTTCCTCAACTCATTCATTGATCAAACATTCTTCATTCCCACTGTAATTGAACAATATTGAAGATCCATTTTCAACAACAGCAGACATCTAGCCTATGAGATGAGGGAAAGAATTGAAATTTAAGCTACAGTGTTATATACAATATTAAAACAAATGCTTAACATATTGACAATACCTTATATGATTAGATGATTTAATTTAAAATTGATTGACTGTTGTGCTAATATTTTTATTGGAACAGCATGGCTTTTAACCATTATCATCTGTTTTGTCAATTGGCTGTAATTTACTGTTCACATAAATTAAAATTTATTATTGTGTTACTAATAAGCAAAATATTTGTAATGTCTCAAAAAATCCTTTATCATATTCTCTAATAAATCAATATAAAGAGCAATAATTTTTTCTCATGAAGACAAATTTTCAATAATGCATGCAGTCATTGTCTTGACAGTTTGAAATCTTATTTGCTTAGAATAGATTATATGAACATTTTATTAAAACACCAACAATTTTGCCATTAATCCTAAGAAAAAACTGACATAATTACAATAATATCAACAGGGATGCCAAGTGAAGTTAATTTAAAAAATAGGGACTTATGGACATAAAAATAGAAAAGAGAGAGGCCAGATTAGAAGCTTTAACTAAAAAAAAAATTGTTAGAGACCTTGATTTGCTTGAAAATTAGCTATTTATGCATTTTACATTTTCAACCAAATGGGCTGTTGGGCCAAACCAAACTTTAGTTACCCCAAATAT